TACGAGTACTTTACAGCACAGTTTATTGCAATTTTTTTAAATGTTCATCATATTTGAAGCCCATGGAAAATAAAAGTTGGTAATAATAGTAAAAACATTAAAGAAAAACAAGTCTTTTAGGTATTTAAGAAAAAAATAATATTTTTTGCAATTAACATTTACCAACATGGTCCATCCTGTGCTGAGTGACAAAAAGTTTTTTCTTCATTAAAACCTCTGTAATTCTGTTCTAGTTTAATTTAAAACCCTGAATCTTTCAACGGGTGATGTCCACGTGTGACTTTATGGTTTCCARTATGTTTTTACCCTTATTCATGTTAGTTTAAAATGGGTTTTATACTGTATAAAACAACAACAACAAAAAACTTCGGACGAGGATCCTAACTATCCTCACTATCTCTGAATCAGCTGCTTTGATACCAACACTTCCGATAAAATCTCCTAAGTGTAAGCTTTATTTTAAATAGATTTATTTTAAATGAATATTTAGAGTCTGTAAATGCCGAGACACCGTAAAATATTTCGAGCCCAAACTTCAAGGACACCCCTTGGTACTCCAGAGGTGAACTTTTTCTGTGTATTTTTGRCCACTAATAAGCAGCAGGACGTTGTCATGAAAGTTCGAGGCCAGTGTAAACTGGATTGCTTCATCTGAGCCATGGATGAGTCTCAAACAGAGGAGTTAAAGTATTTGGGAGTCTTGTTCACGAGTGATGATTTCCACCTGCTGAAAGTTGGCAAACAACTGAGTGCTGCTGCAAGAGTTGACAAAATATGCTCACAGACGATGYCCCAACCATACTGTCCTGTGATAAAAACCCAGTCCAGTAAAGATGCAGTAGAAACACAAGCATGTTTAAGTTGCAGAAGTAGGTCAGTAGAAATCAGAGGAACAACCGGCTTGTGGCTTCCTGCCCACACGCTCAGCAGATCCATGTGCACTTCCAACATTTCTCCTCTGTGGTAGCCCACTCCGGGACAATGGGAAGGGTTCTGAGGTTGCGTAATCTTTTACAAGTCAGCTAATGTAATCTGAAGAACATGTGCGGGGTTACAGTTCAGCTCTGCACGTTTTCATCACTACGCTGCCTGTAACAGATGTGCTCACAGCTTTAAAAGCCAACGGTAGAAAGAGRTTTGCGTTGTGTGGATTTACCGTCATTTGTGGCGTTCCAGGATGTGACAGCCAGCACGCTGGGGTCCTGGGGAAGCTCGGACCCTGAGGACAGAGGAAATGGGAGACGGTTAGAGTAGCCGTGTCTGTCAAACACATAAAAAGGCAAAGAAATTCCGATTTTCATAAACATTATTTGCGAAATAACTGCACAGAGACACATGCAGAAGCAACAGTAGCGCAGGGGTTGTATGTTTGCTGATCCAGATAAAAGGTTTGAATGTCCGACAGGGAGTCTATCAACAGGCCATGTGGTCATTATGCTCTGTTATTACCAGCTGACGACAGAGCAGCACTTTTTATTAGAGGAGAAAGACGACTGGAAACTGGTTTTACTGCAGGTCATGGATGATTCTGTGTACATTAAAAAAACTCAGGAGAAATGAGGATCCTGAAAATGTTTCATCACTGATGATTCTCAGAAAACTGACACTCAGCTCATCCATTGTTACATCAGCATGTGTGTGTTTTGTTCAAAGCTCAGATTCATTCATTCATTTTTATTTAATCAGGACAGTGTGCAGTTAAAACATAAATGAAAAAAAAAAAACATTTGATGCATTCCGCCAGACTTAGCCTTAGGCTAATTTACATCTGCAGCCCCTCCAGATAATGAACAAATGCCAACAATAGATAATAAAACATCCAACAACAATGAAACTAAGAGAAGAACACAAACAAACAAAACAAACAAAAAAACCCCCAAACCTTTAACAATTAAAACATGTCCACTACACCCTCCAACACACGATTAAAAAGTAAGTTATGTCACTAAAAACCCAGTAAAAATTTGTGATTTCAGAGTTGAGTAGATTCCAAGGCAATACTTTTGGGTTACCTCACAATACTTTTGCATTACCTCACAATACTTTTGCATTACCTCACAATACTTTTGCGTTACCTCACAATACTTTTGGGTTACCTCACAATACTTTT